TAGCCGCCCCAGAATTATTTGTATTATTTTTGCTCATTTCGTCGAATAGTCTTATTTTAATTTAGTTTAGCGTTTTTTTTTATTATTATTGTTGTTTTTGCAGCCCCCCCCCCCCCCCCAATATACATATTTGATCATCCTGCGCCTATGCCTCTAGGTAAGGGTTACTATGTCATTATCATTTGCAGTGTTGGGAAAAATAATTAATGAAAAAGAAATTTGAATTCCGATCTATATGTTACCTCGTTTCGGTTCTGTTCAAATTAAATACCAATGTTATTTGAGGAGCAAACATTTATCATATAAACATAATATAGAAATCAAAAACATTTTTAAAAGTTAATTATTTAATTTAACAATATTTTACGGAAATTATTGTAATGTTTTGTTTTCCTATTGAGGGTTATCCAACAGGATTGAAGTTACCAGAGATTATTTCTATCAATATTTAATATTTCATTTAAAATCGGAATACTGATTTTGATTGATATTTATATTGTTTAAAATCATTTTAGATTTAAGTATTTTCCATTTTTTTTATGTTATATATTTATACTAATTTTTGGATTTTAGTTGTAAATGAATTGTATAGTAATTATCATTTCAATTTATTTTTATACATACATTAATTTTCTTGGACTTTGTCAACTGATTAGGTATTATTTTTAGTTAATGAAATACAACTGTGCCTAAAAATAATTTGTATAGAAACTATTATTTTTACATGAAATAATATATTATAATAATAGACATATCACAATGGAATCATATTATATCTCTATTGGTATAACTTTATTATAAAAATATAATTTAGCAATAAACATTTTTTTTTTCATAAAATAATTTTTATAAGTGTAAGCAAATTATTAAATTAATTATTTTTATGTAAAGATGCACATAATGAATGATTCATTAACATTTAATGGCTTATTAGTCACTTTTTATTATTAAATAAGTGTTAATTATTTGAAAATCCTTTTAAATTTAATTGACACTTATACAATATGACACATAAAGTAAAAAAAATAATAACCATATTTAAAATAATTTTACATTAAATACATTAATTAAATATCTTGTAATGGTATACACAATAATATAGATATCTATTATGAAATTAAATGATATAATATTTAAGTATAAATCCACAAAAATAATAAGTTTCATAATAGAATAAATAGTTAGGTTAATTTTAAGTAAATTGTAATAATTGCATTTTTTATAAATATAATCAATTACAATATTTGTATGAATAGTTAAATTAATTTTATTATGCTAATAATAAATTATGTATATTTATAATAGTAGTCAATATATCAAGTTTCAGATTGAAATTATTTTAATAAATATAAAAGTATTTAAAAGTTATGATTTTGGACGAAAACAAAATATATTATTAAAATACACACTAAAATGTGTATGATATAATAATTGTATTATATTGAAATATGCTCCCTTATATTTGGGTAAAATATTAAAACATACATGTTAGAATTTTTAGAATTTAAATTTAAGTACTTATGAAAAATAAAACTTAAATCATAATTTTTTTTAAAAAAAAATATTCCTTTAAATATAATAAAATAGTTGTTTAATTTATAGGTTTGTAATTTTAAATCTTATATAAAGTACACTAATCAGGAGAATAAAATTGTTGGGAATAATGGCATCATTATACTATCCATTTTGTTGGTAAAAAAAATAAAAAATGTACAGAAATGATTAACATAAAAATTAAATTAAGGTGTTTGTTGTTGTATTTGAGCTTGCATTTTTGCAATAACATCTTGCATACGTTTCAGTTCTGCTTCTTTTTCTAGCAAAATTCTATCTTTTTCTGAACCAGCATTTTTTTCGTGTTCTGGGAGCGATCTGTATATACATTAAAAAGTTATATAATATGTATTCTATTTAATGAAATATAAATTAATAATCATACGTAGTTCTTTTTGGAACAGGTACTCCTTTTGCTAAACGTTCGGATCGATAGTTTTCATAATGCACTTCTTGTGTTACTTCTTGAAGATCTTGCATGTGAGTACTAAAAACAAAAACATATAAAATTTAATATCACTTGAATTAAATTAATGAATTTAAATTAAGTATTAATAAATTTAAATTTCTTTACATGAGCATAGTACGTAATTTAATGAAATCACAATGCTCAGGATTTTCAACTTCGACAACACCCCAAGGATAGAATCGTCCTCGAACTTTTTTACCGCGGACTTCTAATAATTGGTTTGCACCACAAACAGCAAATGGTACAGCTTCTTTCAATTGCTTTACCTAAATAATGGATATATATATATTTATAAAATTTTAATTATTTATTTAAAAAGACTCATTTAACAACTATTTTTATAAAGACCTGTTCTTTGTAATCTTCATCTTCATCACTGTCACAGTCAGGTAATGGATAAATTTTAATGCCATTAGCATTAATTTCTTCTAGTATCTGTAAAAACAATAATTCACTAAATAAAATAGATTCACTAGACCTATAAATAATTGTTTTCATATTAAAAATAGATAAACTTAAAGAATATAAAATTATGTTATTAAATACTGTTGAATAAACTATCATATTTAGAATAATAAAATTCAGTTAATTACTCTTTTCTTAAGCTTTTGTATTTCTTTTTTTGTAAGAACATCTGATTTAGCAATTACAGGAACTATATTCACTTTATTGTGCAATTTTTTCATTAACTCTATATCTAGTGGCTTTAATCTAAAATTAAAAAAAAAATTATGAATTTAAATACTTAAAATAAAAGAAAATTGTTTGATATATGTCTTATTTAATTTAAATAAGATAATATCGTTTTTACTGTTACAAGTATTTAATTTACCCATGGCCAAACGGAGAAACAAAATAAAAACAACAATGAACACGATTATCAATAATATGACGTCTGTTCAATCCACTTTCATCTTTTAAGAATCGTTCATATTGCTCATCAATATATTGGATAATAGCTCGAAAACTATAAATTAATATATTACACAATTTAAACATTACTTAAATTACTTAAGATAAAATTATCATTTTCTAATACCTACCTATCAGAATTATCTATGGCATCACCAAAACCAGGAGTATCGACTACTGTAAGCCGTAGTTTGACACCACGTTCTTCGATTTCAACAGTGGATGCATCTAATTTTACTGTTTGTTTGGTTTTCGCTAAAGCAGAAAGAATAATTTGTTAAAAAATGAATAGATAATATTTAGTATAAATTAATATATAGGAACTACCTATGGCATCAGGAATAGTACGTTCGGGATACAAGTCCGTCAAAAACAGACTATTCACAAGAGTTGACTTTCCCAAACCTGACTCTCCAACTACCATGAGTGTGAATTCAAAGCCTTTCTTCACTGATTTGCGGTGAACTTGATTTGGTAAATTAGCAAAACCAACAAAACCTGGTGATTCTAGGTTATTGAACTGTTGACAAACAAAACTATTACAACTTTTGTTCAAAACACTTGTTAACAAACTATGAATGCATTCATCATTATTTTTGCGAGATTAAAAAAATATATTTTTTTTACCCAACAGTCATACCAGCTTTCATTAAATTTAAGATAATTATATTTTAGAACTATTGGTTATACACCATTAGGACTTTGGTTAGAATAAACAATAATTTTCGTAAGTAGGTAGAACTACTAAGAATTATTAAGCTCAACTGTTGGCGCATTTTTCTTTAATTAGGGTAGGTATGTTTGAAAAAATTGAGCAACATTTACACGAAAAGTGCTCACGGCAATGGGGTTGCAGAAAATTTTTTAAGAGATATTCCATGTAAAGATTGAGACTCACCGATTTAATAGAATCGTTGGACATTTTTGTTGATAAAGTGCTGGAAATTGGTGATAAAATTAGTGAAAAAACACGGTATCGAGTTTAGGTAAGTTGAGATGTTCGGAGATTGAGAAAAGCGACGTCTGCGGCAAATACCGGTTTTTTTCCACCGTTTAGCTTTCACTAGTTGTCTTTCTCAAATTCTAGATCTAGAACGAGACAAAATGGGAAAATGCGGACTCACGGTCGATTTGTCGAACGGCAAGTCAGCGAAAAGTTAACAATTGGATATATATCGTCGACAAGCACTGTTGAAATACTGAGTTGCCGACTTAAAATAATAATGACGTTATATGCTTATCCTATAGCCTTTTTTTGTTATTCTTTAAGGCATATTCTAACAGATTCATGGAACACTGTTGTAGCGCACGACCGTTTCTTCCATGGAGATCAGTTCAAAGTTAAATATATACAAATTTATAAGATAACAATATTTAATAATCGAAGATAACGAGAGGAACGTTTAAACACAGGAATACACCTTAAGCATTCTGCGCATGCGCATAATTTATTCACCACTATCATAATGTTAGGCCTTAGATCATATACATATGATCTAAAAATATAACAGCTTAACACTTAGATCATATACAATGGATGGAGTCATATAAATAATTTGTGAAGCCAACATAACAGTAGGACTGCAGTGATAGGCACTAAACTGTGTTATTGTTAATACTAGTCATGACCGACTTGACTCCTGTACAGTTTAACTTTATATACATAATTACAGTGTGCTTGTCTAAATTAATAAACCAAGTCATCTAAACTTGTTATAATATATTCTTCAAAGTGTTGTTTTCTTCTTCTCCGTCACTACCCGTCGTAATCACCTTTGGGTGTACGACAGCACTTATCCATTTAAAAATCTAATTTCGAATAGTTACAACGTTTGCAATTCATATGTAATATATAATGTAACATAAACACTGCTCGACTTAAGGAGGGAGTACCCCAACTAATTTTCAGAAATTTTAGCGTCTCCCTACTATTATTACGCTATAATCATAACGCTCAGCCAGTTTTGGGGACATTCTTTTTTTTTAAGTAAATAGAGTCCCCTTCTTTAATTTTGCCAAGTCGAGCACTGAGCATAAACACTTTCAAGATTTAACCGAGACTAAAATTATGCGTTTTATATATATTATCAAATTTAGGTTATCCAAATAATCATTTTTATATTATTTAATTTCTTTAATTTATTAATTCAATTGATTTATACACGACGTGCATTAACTTGAACAATTGTTTATTCCAATAAATTAATCGAATCGTTAAATTCACTTGATCAAACACATTTTATTTTCAATAAAAGTTTCTATTTGTTTAGTTGTTCTACAATTAGTTGTGTTGGACAACGATATAATATTGTGTAACGATAATCGTAAATTTTTATCATATGTACTTCTTTATTATTTATTATTTATTATTCATTATAACTATTGATTCAACATTGGTTACTAACTAATAAGAAATTACATTCAGATAATTAAATAAATATTATAGTAAATCTTGTTAAGTTTCAACTTATGACTATTAACCCTTAACTGGTATCCTTATTTTTATTCACGTAATTAGTATTGTCGGGTCATTTTTGACCCGACATTGAACTACTTATAAGTTAAATACCTACATTTTTTTATTTTATTTTTTTTTATTTTTATTATATTCTATGTATTGAAATGAATATTTTTCATCTAATAACACAATTTTTTTTATCAAATATAAGTGTTTTATTCAATTTATTTTTAATCTTGCAATTTTAAATGATTATTTATAAATGTTTGAATAAATTATTAAAAAATATATATTTACATTCATATTTGAATTACTCATTGGTTTTTAATTAAGTTTAGATACAATAACAACAAAATAAAATACAATTTAAATCTTAAAACATTTATTTCTAAAAAATTACAAACACTTTTTATAAAATAATAATTATTAACACCTCTCAGGACGTTTTTTTGACTAACCAATAACTACAAACAAATTTAAAAGCTTAGGTATTAGGATATTATTTAAGACTTGACTTTTTTGTATAAATATATTTTAAATATTACTAAAATATTAAACACTTAGTTTAGTTAATCAATGAAATTCAAATAAAAAAAATCAAATATTTTTGGAAATTTCCTTATATTATAAAATAATAAAAATAAAAATAGTTACTCTGTATTCATACAATTAACACACTTTGATACTTGAACGCCACTGTTTTACAAACCGTTTTTTGTATACGGAACAAACATTTGAATACTTCGTATCTTTAGAACTCGGACACACGTAACACCTACGTCATATTTCGTGATGGCAAAAGATAAGAAAAAAACTAAGTAACTGGTATCATCGGGTCCATTATGACCCGAAACCGATATAAATAGCTTTTTTAATACGAAATATGTAATAATTGTTCATAACAAAAGACGTAATATGTTGTTTGTAGCATTGTGATAAAATACAATGTGAAAAAAGTGCAATCTATCGAAGAAAACTTAAAAACAAAATGTTATGGGTCTTTTTTGACTAGACGATACCAGTTAAGGGTTAAAATAAAATAAATATTTAAAACTAAAAATAAACATAACTAAACATAACTACTCTCTTTTTATTTTTAATCTTCAAACCCGATTGATGCATTCCAGAAAATAAATGTTCCATACATTTTATATAAATAATTTTCAATTAAATCTTATAATATATGTATTTTATAAAATTAAAAAGTACCTATATGATTTTCTTACTAAAGTATCGTCTGATGTTCTAGTGGATTTATAATAAGAGTTCAAAAGAGAAGATTGTTAACTCGAAAATAATTTATTCCTTGTCTTTGAAGTTATAGTGTGAGCTTCACTAAACATACATTCGCACGGGATATTAGTCGTGATTATAGACATGTAATTTTTTGCCAATATGGAAACTTCTGGATATAAATTTAAATTTTCTCTCCTCCATTTAAATGGTTGTTCGTCAAGATGACATTTTTTGGTCATATTTTTGTAATTGCTTAGATGCTGTTATCGGAGCTTCATCGTTTTCATCATCGATGTCAGCCATTAATGAACGAAATTTTTTTTGGGAGGTGGGTCATCCTCATTTGAGCTAAAAACATTTTAAATTTTATTTGCTCTGACATGTTTTTCTGGATTAAATTTACAAAGTTCAGTTTCAAGTTCCTCTCAAATCTAAGTTTTGTTTTCATCTGATGTAAATTTCAGTTTATAAAATTTAGAATCTAATGCAGCTGCTTTAGATAAAGCTGAACTCAACATGTCTCGTCTTATTTCCAAGTCTTGTATATGCACAATTTAACTGTTTTTATAAAGTTAGAATCGGTTTCACACGTCTGAACTGTATTGAGAAGACTTTTAACTAAACGGTTTGCTATGGATGCCGTTACATATTTGTCTCCTCTGAGTGTATTGGTAACAGATTCGAAAGTCTAACTTCAATCAAATTTTTTAAATTTTCTACATCTGCTGGTGTTATACATCATTCGTTAGTTTTTTTTTTTTTAAAGAAATGATGGTTTTGATTTAATATTTATGTTTCAATACATATTTTAACATATTGCATGTAGAGTTCTATACATGCAATATCTTGTGACGCAGTCTTTCACTTATTTATTTTTTGGTTTTCCGCATTTTACTTGTTCCTTTTTCAATTCACTTTGAGCTGACGAACTTCTATTGAAATATCCAACTATTTTTCTTAACTTATTAATCAGTTCCTTGGTAACATCGTTTTTAAGACTAGCATTTACAGATACTTGAATTGAATAAGCTGTACACCTTACCAGATTATATTTTCCAGATTATTATTCGCTTTAACTATGTTCGCTGCATTATCACAAACGAAAGTCACAACTTTATTTTCTACATCTCAAGTCTTAAAAATGGTTTTTAAATTGGTTACTATATTTGTTGAAGTGTGTGATTCGGTTACTTCTAAAACTAGTGAATGTAAAGACAATAAAATGACTAGTTACATCTAAATAACTGTTGTTAGAATCAGAAGTCCAAAAATCGATGGTCAAACTATTATAAGAAATGTTTGATAAATATTCCTTAAAATTATCCCTTTCCAAGAGTGCTGCATAATCATTTAACCATGATATTGTTCATCTACTAGGTGAACTGTACTTAGGTAAACCTAAATCTAAAAATTTAAGAGTCTTCTCCCATCTCTACTATACTCAAGAGTCTTAGATCTTTAACCATACATTTTATCAAACCTTTTGTAAGTTCCTTATTCTTTTTACTGTTAAGAGGTAGTTTTGCTACATGTACTTTTAAATATTTTGTATTACTGCAAGTGTTTAGCTCCAGGTAGAGGCACCAATTTTAATTCATTCATCGCTTTCATTTTGGTGGAGACTCGTTCGTGTGCATATTAATACACTTTTTAAATTTACAAAAACTCGTTTGTGCACAAAATCGTGAACAATGAAAACCAGCTTTTAGGTACAATTTTGGGTGTGCGAGTGTCTGTATACTCTAAAAGCATAACGTTTGTTTTCAAACGTAGTTTACCATCAGGTTATGACAAAGTTAGTTCAGGCAATTGCGAAAAAATATAAGTTTAATAAAAAAATACTCGAAAAATGATTTTGAGATTAGAAGGTGGCTTAAATACTTTTTCGGTTTATCATATTTAAACTCATATGATGTTACGGACGTATTTACTAAAATAATTTAAATGGCGTCATGCAACAATAAATTTTTTAGGCTATATACTAAAAAGGTATATGAATTTGATACTAATTTTGGACCAGGATTATGAACTAGTGTACTAGACAATAACTCAAAAATAACGAATGGAGATGAAAATTTTAACAAGTACTTCAATAGTCTATTGCAGGGGTCACCAATTAATATTTCCGGCGGGCCACATTAAGAATTCGGAAAATTCTCGCGGGCCATAAAAATTCAAAAGTACATAATATTTATTATAATATGCCAGTTGGTCAAAAATACTTTATTTCTAAAAAAAAAATATATACACTTATTAATTATTATGTAACTAAAACTAATGAAAATATAATTAAATTAAATAAATATATGAAACAATTATTAATTAATATTTTTAATGAGAAAAATGGCAGATCTTGCTTTCAACTAGCTGCTTTAAGTCGGGGTTATGGTTTGTGGTAGCTATCTTCATCATCATTTCAAGGTGTTCGTTGGTGAGTCGGGATCGGAATTTGTTTTTGATACAATTCATTTTTGAAAAAGCAGACTCACAGACGTATGTGGTGCCAAACATTGTACACATTTTCACTGTCAATAATTTCAACGTCGGGTATTTCTTTTCAGATACATATTTCAACCAAAATTCATCATATGTAGAATCAATTTCAGTTTTTGAATACTTTTCATTATACAAATTTTTTAGGACATCATCTGATTGAAATTTAATTATTTCCATTTGAAGATGTGCTCTGTTGCATTTGAAAACGTTTTCTGCTTCGTTAATCCATTCACCATCAGGCTGCAAAGTAAAACTACTGTTCAATAATTGTACAACGTTTTTAATTTTTCTGAAATCAGCAAAGCGTCTTTCGAATTCAGTTTTTAAACTTTCCAAAAACTTCGTAAAATTTGTGATATCAATCTCGTGATTTTCATCAACAACTTTTTTCAAGTTAGGAAAATGTAAACGTTCATTACTAACATCTTGTAAAAAAAAGTCAATTTTTCTACAAAAACAATTTACCTCAGATACTAAATGGCAAATTAGTTTCTGATTACCTTGAAGTTTCAAGTTGAACGAATTTATGTGTTGAAATATATCTGTCAAAAACGCAATAGTTGCTATGTTACTGTTATCACTGATAAATTCGTGATAGTCTTTGGCAGACAAATATGTACTCTGAATTAAAAATAGTTCAATTTCATTCAGTAAGTTAAAAAACCTTTGCAAAACATTTCCTTTGCTCAGCCATCTCACACTATTATGAAGTAATAAATCGTCAAACTGAGTATCATTTTCTTGAAGAAGTGCCTTAAATAGTCTGTGCTGGAGTGAAGATTTTGCACGTATAAAATTAACAATACTCATTACTGTTTTCATAATTTTTTCCAAACACGGATCCAGTTTGCAGCAAAGGACGCTTTGATGAATGATACAATGGTACGATAAAAGATCAGAGTTGCATTTAGGGTAATTTCTTAATCTTTGAACAAAGCCTTGATGAGCGCCAATCATCGCTGGTGCACCGTCGGTTGTAACAGAAATAATTTTATTTAAATTTAAATTTTCTGTTTCAAAATACAATACTACAGCATTGTACAAATCATTTCCTTTGCTGGTCCCTGATAACGGCAAAAGTGTCAATAACTCTTCGTAAAATGTCCCACTGATATTGCTCAAGTATCTCACGTGAATTATTAGCTGAGATGTATCTGTTATATCACTTGATTCATCCAAGGCTATAGAATAAAAATCAGCAGTAGATAGATCTTGTTTCAACTGATTGTGATTATTTTTGGCCAGTACTTCAGTATTTCTTGTGTTAGTGGATGCTGATATTGGGATATGACGAAAAGTTTCGACAATTTCCTTTTTATTTCCAAACAGAACATTTACAGATTGAAGCATACATTCTTTAACAATATCAGCATCTGTAAATGGCTTCATATGTTTACCGAGTATCCACGAAATTTGTAAAGATGCCTGTGCACATTTCTGTTGTTCAGTCATAGCTTGGCTCAAAATTTGAGTTGTCGATTTATATTTCATTTTTAGATTTTCAATTTTTGTTTTACGAAGGCCAGTACCCAATGGGAATTTTTCGGCAAATGACTTGTGTGTCTCATAATGACGTTTGATATTAAATACTTTCATAACAGCCACTGTTTGATTACAAATCAAACAAACAGGTAAGGCACCTACTCTATCTGGTAAAATAAAACAATATAAGTCCATCCATTCAGGACAAAACTGTCTATTTTCATTTTCTATTTTTCTTCTTTTTCTATCCATAGTCAAGTTAAAACAAAGAATAATATATTATTTAATTACGAAAATTAATAAATAAAACGGAACGGACGAACAAAAATTACGTCACAGCGGACACCACCGTCTCACCGATAACTGACGGACTGATGTGTTGTACGTATATTAATATATGTGACTTAACGAGTTGTCGACTTGTCGTAATAAAATTTCAAATAAATAATAAAACAGATAAGATATTTTTCACAGCTAGTATAATATTTGTTGCATCCGAAAAAACCTAATAATGCAGTAATAATGTACAAAGATAAGAAATTACCTGCAACATTTCAACTGCAACAGTCTCGCTTGATAATAAATACGTATTAAATTATTGGATTTTTTCTCAGTCTGCGGGCCGGTTAAAATGCATTCGCGGGCCGGATGCGGCCCGCGGGCCGTCATTTGGTGACCCCTGGTCTATTGTATACATCCCATCCTTATATTCACATTACATTTTACCTTATATTTAATTAATTATTCAAGTATCAATAGAAATTTATTTCGATACTGATTTAAAAATTATTTCATTAAAAAAAAAAAAAAAAAAAAAAAAACGAAAAGAAAAGAAAACAACCGTAGAAGAGAAATATTAAAAAACAAAACTATACGATAAAAATATATTTTGATTACAAATTTACAAAAGTTGATATTTCAACATTTTTAATGCAAGCGCGTACCAATGAATAATAAATACGTAGGTACTTTTTTAAAGACTTAATTATTTATTATATTTATTGTTAATTATATTATATATTGAATTATGTTAATGAATTGGTTATAAAAATGATTGTAATTGTGATAAAAATTATTTATTTTTATTTAAAGTTGTGATAAATTAAATAGCTCAAACAAAATCTTTAAATCCGTCAGCCTATGACACCAGTAACGATTAGACAAAGAGTGTTAGGTTATAAAAATCGAAAGAAAATATTGTAAGAGTATAATAATTTTTCACCATCAGTAATGACAAATTTGAAAAATTGGAGAGATACGCAGGTTATGTACACCCTATATGGGGCTAAGTTTCTTTGAAAATAGGTTTCTATTGTTCGTAAATTGTGCGCAAACGAGTTTTAAGCATTTTTTAAAGATTTTTAGGCCATCAAGTTCTGGGCCCTAATAATAAGTAACGGGATTCATGATATATCAAGAATCAGTTCGAAATATATGATTGATTTTTTTAAAATTTTAGTACAATAATGTGTAAATTTAAATTATAACACGAAGAATCGAATGAGTTAGTTGTACGTGTATAGTAACACCTTTTATATGTTGTACAGAATTTAATTATATTCATAAAGTTTGCATAGTCTTTGACAGGTAATTAAAAAATAAATCACCACAGTAATGTTAATTGGCTGAAATTTTAAGTTAACAATTATTCAGTCGTTAATATTTAACTATTCAAATAAAACAAATACCTACACGAAATGACTTGTAACAATAAATTATAGATAAAACATTTTCAAATTAAAATTTGTTACTATATTGAATATTTTTTTTAGTTTTATTTAATTTGTAATGCATATTCAGTATATTTATTAATATTTTAAATACTAACAAATATGAAGTATTTCGTTTATTTTACATCGATATAAATATATTGTAATCATAATCAGGGATTCGAAATATTAAGAACGGGCCATATTCAGTGCAGACAAGAGGGCATGGTTCAGGGGTGCAATTCTAAGAGAGTGCACATTTCAACACTACTTATGTAATATTATTCACGAAATATAAATAATATGTAGTTAAAAAAATTTCATTTGATAATTTCATTGATAAATTTTCCTCTATAAAAGCAAGAAAAGTACCATTGTAATATTTTATTAAATAAATTTAAAATCGTCTAACAGAATCGTAAAACAAAAACATTTGAAAAAAATTACATATTTTCATAATGTATTGATTGTTTATACTCGTATTTTAAAGTAATACAAACAGTTATTAAAGTTTATTAGTAATTATTACCTTGTAAACTATGTTTTTATACATGCTTTATATACTCGTATCTCAAATGATTTTTTTATAAAAAAATGCAAATTTCCATTGTAAGGAGGGGGGATACAGTGGTTCGACAGGGTCACCACCAAATTCAATACGGCCCTGATCAAGAACCTTCTTTTATAAAACATAATTGTTTAAAAAGTTCTGAACTAGTTTCAATTTATATAAATGTTACCGTAAATGCCCGATCACTAGGTAAACCTAGGTTTTACTAGATAATGCTAGGTTTTACTGTTTGTACTCAGTAAATGCTGAAATTCTAAATTTTATTCGGGCTTTTACTAAACACGTTGTGTACATCCTAGAATATACAAATTGACTTAGTAAAAGCTGATCAATACACGACACATAACATTTAAGCTTCGTAAAAATTATAATTATATATTATTAAAACAAATTACCGACAGATATTTAAATTCTTTATACAAAATAAAAATCATTTAAAAACAGAATCATTATTTATTCTTCATAAAAATTAAGTAAAATTCAGTAAAATTTATGGGTAGTTAGAAATAATTATTTAAAATTTTTATTTTTTTGCATATGTTGTACTATTATGAAACCTGCTATTACATAACACATTTGACTGGCGGCATTTGCATTTTTTAGTTGTACATTTTTTCTGGCAATCACACCTCAAAAATCCTTGCCCACCTGATAGTGAAAGTTGAGCAACAGCTTGGCGTATGCTTGTTGTTGTATTTGGAACATCGGATATTGAAATAATTTTTTCTTCGCACAAAGTAAATTGATTTCTAGTGAATAATTGATTCAATGTCCCAGCTTTAGATCCTAATCGATAAAATTCTTCGTCAATAATTTCAACAACTACAGCCAATAATGTGCGAGAATCAATTTTACATTGATCGAAATCTGGAATTTTCACTCGCTCTGTTTGACCAATTAATGCAGCAAGAAAATTTTTATTAGATATTGTTTTTATTTTTTTTGCTTGTTTTTCCAGAGATTTTAGTGACTCTTTTCGTTGTTGTTTAATTTTAGTAGAACGTTCAAGTAATATTTTTTCATTAACTTTTTCATTTTTATCTTTCTTCGTTAAAATTGTTTTTTCATCGTTGTCTATTTTTGTTTCTATATCTTCCACTTTATTTTTGTAGATCTCAATATCGATTTTTTTTTTTGGTTATGATCAATGTTTATGTCCTCATTGATTTTTTCAGTAGTATTCGTCTCCTCATTCTCATAAGAAATTGTAATTTTAGAGTCTTCAAGGACAGATATAAGGTCATCTTCTGTTATCACATTTTTCGGTATGATCGAAGTAGCAAGTCCCATTTTCATTGTACACCCAAACATTGCCTCATAGGGTGATCGTTTTATACCTAATTCAAATAATAGTTATAATTTATAGCTATTTTATTATATTATACTTTATTTTAAAATAAATGTTACAATTGTAGGAATATTTTAATACAAATAATAATTATTCAATATTATATTATACATGAGTGTACCACGAAAATCTGTGTTTGTTCGGTTGTATATTTTTAAATTTTTTTTTGTTTTTATAATAATTACTAAATACTACTTAACCTAAAAATGTATGGTATGATTAAATTGATAAAAATACCTTTTAAATATAGAACAGAAAAAAGTTAATAATAATTATAACTAACCTGAATGAAATATTGAATTTTTCATTGCTCGAACAAATCGTAAAGTTTGTAGACCATTTTGCATTGTCATTAGTTTCCATCCAAATTGCTATCATACTTTCGATGTCTTGATTAGCTCGTTCAACCGATCCTTGAGATTGACTGTGACGAGCTTTGCCATGAACTATTTTAACTTGAGGCCACATTTCACATACACTGGTAACAATTTTATTTACAAATTCTTACCCGTTATCAGAGTGTAGTATACTAGGAGCTCCAAAGAGAGTGAATATATCTAGAAGTTGATATGCAATTTCTTCTGCACGTTTACACCGTAAAGGCCGTATAATCACAAATTTTGTCAGGTGATCTTGATACACCATAATGTATTTAAAACCATCATCTGGGTTTGATTGCATATCAATTAAATCAATTTGACATCGAGAATTCATTTCATTGTGCAATATCGGTTTAATAACGAGTCCTTTTTTTGGTATACTATGCTTTTTCTGGCATGTTTCACACATTTTCAAGTACACATTTATAGCTTCCACATTAATATTTTTGAATTTTTTTTTTAGCATATGATTTATCCGATCCCTACCACCATGTCCTGTTTCAATATGAGTTGCGTGTATAATATCAAAAAGTTTATCATTACATACGTAGTATCGAATATCTTCAGATCCACTTTCCACTGGAAAAATAAGTTTGTCTTCATTCCCAATACAAAGAACATCAAAACGTTTTAATCTCCGATAGCGAATTAATTTTTTGACAGCAATTGTTTTTACGTTCTTCGCTTCTTGTAAATACTTATTGTACATTTCACGTGTTAAATAAAAAGTATTAATAGAATCTTTTTTTTTAATTATTGGATTTAAAACGTCATAAAACCTTTCTATATTAGCCCTATTTAAGTCAAATTAATAATGAAAATAAATATAATTAAAAATTACATTAATTAAACACAATTCAATATAAATATTACGCGCACAAGGCACAACACATATTACACTGTTCTACAAATGGATACGTCTATTACGTAAAATCCAAACAAACTGAACATGTACCTAATAAAACCATATCTAAGCGATAACGTATCCGTTAGTAAATTATTAGATAATTATTAATATCTACACATTGCAGTCGTAAATTTATCTTCGCAAAATAATTGTTATTAATTGTTACGAGCAAAAATGTTTGAGGTGTGATTTCCAGAAAAAATATTCAACTTAAGATGCATTTTTATTAATTATAATAATATATAATTATAATTTTTACGCAGCTTAAATGTTATGTGTCGTGTATTGATCAGCTTTTACTAAGTCAGTTTGTATATCCTAGGATGTACACAACGTATTTAGTAAAAACCCGAATAAAATTTAGAATTTCAGCATTTACTGAGTACAAACAGTAAAACCTAGCATTAACTAGTAAAACCTAGGTTTACCTAGTGATCGGGCATTTACGGTAACATATATATATATTTTCGGTCATTAATATTTAAAGGTATAATTAATTAAGTCATGGCAATAAAATATAGTTAAGTTCACAATTAATTATCAACTTACTATACAGCATTTGTAATTATAAAAATGATCGGAACTCCTAGGTCGGTAGCTATATGACCGGGTTAAATTCAAAGGCGGGAAAATGATTTTGCTGTATGGGTCTTTTAAATTTGAAATTTAATATATTATTGCTTTCGAAATAAAAATTCTTCATGAAAGAGGTGGATTTATTCATAATTTTGAATATGATTGATATTGTAGTAGAACCATATTTATATGCATTTTAATGTACTAATTTTTAAAGAAAAAAAGCATCTGAAATTTAAGAAAATTTCAAACTTTTAATGCGTATGTCA